GAATCCGTCGATGAATCATACGATTGAGATTGATCTAGTGCTCGCTCTATGGCTCGGCATCGGCAGTGTGGAGACATTCTTTGCAGTTCCTCGCATTTCTTTCGTATGCAAGCACAGCGTGAACCCTGCACGCAGACACAGAACAGGTTTGCTCTTTGCTGAGGTTACATGCGAATCTTGGTCCGAGAGGTGAACCAGAAGGGATGGGTATTTACCCCTGATCCATTGAACTTTACTCCAGAGCGACTCGCTCTGAGCGAGGAAACACCACATGCACTGATGATTCTAAAATTCATGTTATACCGAGGAACTCCCAAGATTGGCCCGAAAACATAACCAACCAGTGTGTCGCGTATGAAGGTACCCCTACGACGATCTAGGTAGTGTCTGTCGTGTTTGTTTTTAATTCTTTATTCTCTTGTAGTCGGTCTATCAGTGTACGGTATGTGGTAGGTTTACCTCTTCATAAATGAACCTGGTGTCCCCCCTGGTGTATGCCTTACTCTGCTCCTCCTGTCTGGCTCGTTCGTTGCCGGAGGACAACGCGCCACGCTTACTCGCCGATATGGTTTATCGCCAATACCAACTGGGGGATGACTTCTCCCTCATACGAAAAGACTTCGGTGGCTACAAGAACTGTGACTTCTTCCTCTGCTGGGTAGTGGTGATCCGTGGATTTAATGTGAGACTCCAGTGGATTGCTTATCACAACTTCTGTCATTTCTTCAGACTGTCCTTGGCGCGGTCAAGATAGATATCCCTGAGAAAAGCATAGGTTCTGCTGTACGAGCTGCAATCGAAGCCCACAGGTGAGTCATCGTCTTCGTGTTGGTGAAACTCTTATGTTTTACAGGCCAAAAGGGAGCCCGAAAATACCCGGCGGGATTTTCGGGTCGATAATCAAGGCGAGCCTCACAGTGTCATTTAACGCTCAACTATGTGGATTCTCAGGTTGAGGTCGCCGAAGCTTGGGTAAGGGAAGATATATCAATGAATCTTTTGGTGGACATCTTCAACCATGTGAGTCAACTATGGCTTTTAATATGACTCGAATGGCTGTCGTTTTCTAGATTACTACAAACTACGTGTACTGGGATGTCATACACATATCTGTGGACCGTGCGGATAAAGGCGCTATTGAGCTCTATGAGACACTGGGATTTATCAAGGTTATTGGTAGACATACACCTCGGTGAAACACAGGATCAGTCGTGCACTCAGATATCCCCAGGAACCAGCTCCTCGTCTACGCGCGCTATCACACACCGTAGTGGTCGCATGCTATAGTTGACCTTCTTTTTTGTTTATTTTCCTCACTCCCGGAGCGGCATTTACAGTCCGACTCCCTGTCGATGATGAGTTAGTCAAATGCTTTTGGTTGCAGTCGAAAAAATGTCAACAAGTTTTGGTCACTTGCAGAGCGAGTCGAGTTCTATAAAGTGAGAATTGACGAGCCGAGATCCGGCTTGTTCATGCCTGCAACTACTGGTCTTGTTCCTGAGCCGCTATATTGACTGACATCAATACGATCGACCTCAGTTTCATAATCGTAAACTCGTCAACTTCCAACTCGGGTCAGTTCGACATACGCACAAACTATTCCTCCTGACCCAGGAGGAACACTTTATTTCATCAAACCATACAGTACGCGAAATCAGAAGAGCCAGTTTCGTATCACTGGCATAATTGTTCACCTAGAATCTCAAGAAAGCTAAGAAAGATACTATTCTATAACGCTTATACGCTATACGGACTAACCTAAAACTTTTGAGTTAAAAGGCTCCTTATCCTAAAGGGGGGAAGATCGCAGCAAGTGAAGGTCGATCTAGCCTGGGGAACCAAACGGCTAGGCTCCATCCAAAAGAGAAGATGCCAACGAGCACTCTGGGAGGGGAATGAGGGTGAAGTGTGATTTTCATAATAAAATGGTCGGCTGGTACCTCAATTTGTGGCCCTCAAACTTGTGGTAAGAAAGATAAGAAAGATGCGATTTCGATAGACGATCGTCAAAAGGGAGGGCCCGATAGTATTGAGTACGATATGATGTATCGAGTCATTACAGCATCACGTCGTGCAGTCTCGTTTCGTACCGTCTCACATGGTAACCACGTACAATATCATATTGTACAGTGTCCACAAATACAGCGCAAATCAGTAAACTAGTAGGTCATAACATGACCGTCATACATTCATGTTTGGTATACGCGGGGTTGATTATTTCGCTCGACATGATATATCAGTAACCGTTCCGAACATGACCGTTTCGACTCAACATATCATGTATCATGATAGTAACTATATCCTGTTGAAGTTTTAGCTCAACTTAGAAGCCACGAGTTATTCCCTGCGGGTGTGTTCCTTGCCCTTCACAGTTGCGTCGTGGACCACTCGCGCTGGGTGTTATTTACTCGTCTCTCCCGGGTTGAATCACTCGCTTGAGAAACTTGTATGCTGACCCGACCTTCAACAAGTGCTCCACGATGGGTATGTTGCGCCTAGTCTCTTAGTCGCCCGTTGTCAG